TCGTCTTCGTATTTGATATCCATACAACTTACTAGGCTCCTTGCTCGTTTAGCGGGAGGTGACTTAACAGCGATATATAAAGAGTTGCAGTCATTTGTACTACGAATAATGTTTACTCCTTTATTTATTTCAGTCCGTTCGCGTGCGCCGATAGTGTAGTGGCGATCACGCTGCTCACCCCACGACGGGACCTGGGTTCGAATCCCACTTGGATTGGAAAAGTTATCAGCAATGCTATATACTTGCATTTTGCAGTCTGGTGTGTAAGAGGGCTTCACAACTGGGGCGTTAAGTTGAGAATTCAGGATAGGAACAGGCAAAGATCTCCATGAACTAACATCTAGCTTATTGGACCTAACCACAAGGTCAGACCTGAGTGGCCAGGCGTGGGAACGGGGTGGATTCGATGTAAGCTTATTGACTGAATCACTATTCTGAGTGCTGGGAGTCGGTTGTGCTTCAAGGACTGGCTCAACTTTACTGTTAAGATCAAACTCCCTAGTAAATTTAGGAGGCGCATTTGAAAAATACTTGCTTCTTAGGGGAGTTTTAAACCACCCATGAATGTGAAAACTCTGCAAAATTATCCTTTATTTAAGAGAACTATTACTCGATTTTTGCATTCAGAAAAGCTCCCACAAATTTTGGGTGCGGAATCCACTGATCGACTCTACCGTAGCGATGACGTTTTTGGTCTCTGAACACTATGGCCGGTCTCACCAGCTATTCCTCAACGTCCGTACTTTGACTATCCCCAACTTTATGAAAGGAATTGACGTCTGATAATCTCCGATACCGTGCAACCCCGCCCCCCCCCCCTTCCTGACGGTCGAAAATCTACCACCAGCAGTTTTTTCTCCTGAACCCTCCAAACCATGAAAACCACCATCAACTGTATTTTTATTTCTTTACTTCAGGAGTTTTTTTCGCTGCTGGTCGGATTTGTGTTAAATCGCTTCCCTTGACAATGCCTGTAAACTGGCACTAAATTATTATTATTATTATTATTATTATTTTTATAACTGTCTCTGTGATAATGTGATCAGTCAAGGAGCTAGATGGAAATGGGGCCGCTGTGGATAATGGGGAGATTTGGTCGACACCAGATGGAGAAACTACTTTAGAAGTAAAAGGCATATGAGTAGAATTCGGGGGTGGCTTTACGTTAGTTAATGGGGGAGAATCTCTTCGTTGCAGTGGAGTTTGATCTCGACTAACAAAATTTTTATTTGCCCTGAGATATTGAGTCGAGCGCTCCAAATGGGAGAAAATAAAATCCACTTCAGTCGACGAAAAGAGTTTGACAAGATTTGGTGGATTTTTGCTCCTAGATGAAAGCCTTTTAGCTTCAGAGACCCTAAAGTTAAAGCCGCATGAATAAAGGAAATGAAAAGCGACATCTATTGGCCGTCTACTCTTAGGAACGTTTTTTAATATTAGATTGAAACTTCGCTTGTGTCTGTCTTCAGTCTCAGTAGCAACCAGGTTAATGAGAGGCATGAGCTTCTCACACTGCTGAGACGTAAGCGTTGGCAACTTTTCGTCAAGAAGTGCGCCAAGAACAGAAAAAATTGATCCGTAACGAGACATAAAACTGTTAAAATCATCAAGCGTACATAGATCAATATTTTTCATATGAACAATGGGTTCCAGATGAAGTTTAGTTTCCTTCAGATTTCGATGAAGGGTCGCCTGAGGTTTCATGTCGAAAGAGCAATACAAAACTTAAGCCCAAATTTTATATGGATGATAACTGCCGAAACTTTGAGGATGTATGGATGAGGCTATGTAAGATGAAACGATTTCTGAAAGCTGTCAATATTGGTGGACCAGACAGCACAGTTTATACTAAGCAAATTATACTCAATAACAGAATGCGAACTTTAAAAAACGGGTAAATGACCATTTCGTAGGTGGCACAACAGAACTATGAATAAATCTGAATTGGATAATGAGGCTTTGTAGGATAAAATACAGAACAGTATAATTCTCAATACACCGACGATAAAAGCGAGGGCAGTTTGGACAGTGGAAGCGGATGCGGCGGGTATGTGAGCAAGGTATGCGGCGAGATATGTGGGTGCTTCAGGCACTGGTTCGCCTGTCTCTCTGCGATGGATTCGCAAGTGACCAACCATGACAATGGGCGAGGTGAATATGCGGAGACAGTATGGGCAGGAGAAGTCCGTGGTGTCGGTGGCACTTGCGGAAATGGGGGTGGTGGTGGTGTTGGCGATAGTGGGCGCACAGGGCGATCTAAGGATGTGACATTTATTTCTGCCCTGACAGTGGCCGTTTATAATCTGTTATACTCCGCCATATGCAGGCCAGTCCTGCCCGCATTTTTCTCCTTTCATGGGCGACAGTTTTTTCTCTAGTACAGTTAGTCTTATAATTTATGAAATTTTAGGACCGATTTTTTACACTGTTCGCTCGTAGTTTTTCTTAAAGGACTACTATTTCGGAAACCACAATTTGCATTTTGCATATATTCTGCCTACCTCGTCTAAAATTCATAAAAAAATTTATTTTTGCTTGCTATGAAGGGACACGGATGGGTCTTTAATAAAATTTATATACTTTTTTATTTTATTTGTTGTCAGTATATGTTTTGGCCGAACTCGTTCCTGAAACAGCAGACCTCAATCATCCCTCAGACTTTCAAGTCTAGCCTTCGATATGATGTTAATTAACATCAGAGCTTACACAAAGCCCCACCTCTATCAAAGCTTCTTGGAGGGATGAATTTCAGTAGGATTCTTGATTTTTGTCTAGTTACGTAGCTTATGAGCTCGGATCAGCACGGGTTTTTAGCTAAAAGATTCTGCGAATCTTGTCATTTGGCTTTTGTAAAGCTAGAAGCTTCTCTTCCTTATAAACAGCAATTAGTGGTAGTTATCTTCTTGGATCTTAGTGAGATCTTCGACAAGATGCGCGTAACGTTTTTTAGTGGAAATAGAATCTCTCAGCATTAAGTCTCCTCTCGCTGACTCCATCTGCCCCTATATGCCCAAACCACTATCCAAAATTGGCGATCTGATAATAGCTGCTCGACGCCTCACTCAATCACGGGGCGGGTACTTCGAGACACGTTTCTGGATCCGCTACACTTCCGTTTCATATGAAAGATATTTCGACAGAAATTAAAAATTGGAAAATGCTTATTTATGCCGATGATCTTAAGTTCGTTTATTCATATTTTGAGGACAGTTCGAACATTTTCATTGAAAAAATTGACTCAGATGTACCATGCTTGGGGAAATGGAGTTCTGCATGGTAGATGGGTTTTCTTCGCCCAAGTGTAGTCTCATGTGTTTAGGCTTCACTAAGCTTTATAGCCCAGTAGTCTTTCAAACTAGCCTACTCTTAAAATTTTCCACCAAAAAGGACCTAGACCTAAGTAATATAAGTGAACTTGTTTTATTCCCTTATACAGATGACATCTGCATTAGATGCGTAGATAGACGAGGACAAATCATATGATTTTTCTATCCCGGAAATGGAACTAGGACCTTGCTACATTGTAGAAAATAATAAGGCAGAATACCTAAGCCGCTTTTCGTCAGTGTCCGCACGGATAAAGCGGACATTGACCGTGCCGAATCCCCAACTGACACCAACGTCGCGCAAATGGCGGGAATCCATTTCACAGAAAGTATCTGAAGAAGGAACTTCTTAAATCTAGGGCATGCAAAGCCACGTGTCCGGACCCTATATCGGTAAAAGGTCCAAAGGAGCTTGCCTAAGAAATCTCCAGACCGTTTTCGCATGTTTTCCAGTCATCCCTTGGCCGAGGCATTCTCCTCTCTGATTGAAAAATGGACAATATATGTTAATTCGCAGGCGGTGGATGGGGTCAGAATAAGGGATAATGACTACTGACCGATGAGTTCAATATGCATTTTTTGTGAAGTTATTGAGAGGATAATCAAAAAGCTACCCCATATATCCTCGAAGAAAAGAAAATCTTTTGCGGGGTTCACCATCACGTCCGACGGAACCCCTCTTGTTTAGCCAATATGCTCTATTCAGTGGAGCAGTGGTACAACTGTTTAGACGAAGGCACAAGAACATATGCCGCTTACGTAAACTTTAAGGAAGTCTTTGAAAGTGTTTCATGCCGCTGGTTACTGCAAAAGATCCGAAAGTCCGAGACAAGCAGGAACCTGCTGAACTGCGAAGAAGACTTCCTGACCGGTTAATAGTAGTCCGGGTGCGTTGGCAATGCGAAATCAATGCAAAGCCCAGTTGTAAGCTCAGACCATCAGCGTTTTTAAGCTATGCCACTGACAGCAGAGATGAAATTGATTGAAACCGAGTGCGAGAAGGCAAGTGTTTGGGGTTAGAATTTGACTCAAAGACACTCTTAATAAAACGGCGCATTTAACTAACGGCGGGGAGAGATTATTAAATAAAAAATTAACATATACAGAAAGAGACTATGTTCAGGGCTTTTTACTAGACTGAAATTCGGGCGAGAAGGCAAAATAGTATTTGCTTATCGTCGGAAGCCTTCGTCAGATTAATTGTGCTCAGAGCGATATCAATATACAATGGTTTGATTTCATTGCTTACTCACACCTTTTAGACACAATCATCTTATTTGATGTCCTTTATCCATGGACTTCTTGAACAGCATGATGTCTTATATTTTAATTCCGAAATTATTTTCTTAGTAGCAGCAGGGATGTTCGCGAAAGAAAAAGAGAGCAGCTCGCTCGTGAGTACAAAGAAACTGAGGAAGTTGTTAACGTTTGTCTAAATGGTTAGTTAGTTTTAAAAATCCTACGGGTTGTCAACTTTTTTGCTTTGTATTTTGGCAGTAATCTGGTAATTCCGCCAGTTCGTTTGTTTTGCTCTCGTTCGTTTCTTACTCTGTTCTGGCATTGTTCCCTGAACACAATTCTTTGATTCCTCATTTCTTTGGCGGAAAGGTAGGCAGTCAATGATAGAGGTAGAACGAGTTTGAATAGCATGGAGCCATCCAGGCCGCGATAACGTGATTTCCAGGTCGGCCACTTATCGTAGAATGTCAGTTAAAACTGTTCTGAGAGCGTAGCTTTTCGAAACGCGAATGAGGAGGGGTTGAAAGTGCACATACAGCCTTTTTAATATATCTACCTTCTGCCTTAGAGGGAATGCCCCAGTTTGTCGTGTTTTGCGACCTTTACCAACACAATGTTTAAAGTACTTTAGTAGCTGCTCTGTCTCTTTTTTACATCCACATGAATGTTCGCTTTTCCATGTCATATTTCCAGTTCATACTTGACAGTTGTTTTTCCGGCATAAGGACGTTAATTGCCACAACTTCACTGTTCTAACACATCGCAGACCTCGTTCGTTATCTTTTTTTATTTTAAAGGTCGTAACCATGCTCCAACTGTTATAACTCATTTATTTCAGGATATTTTGGTGTTAACGCAGATGTCTAAAGCTCAGTGATTTTTCGTAAAGGAACTTACGGCCACATGCTAAATTTGTCATGGCCCAGTTGGCAGTATGGTCATTAAACATTGATTGAAAATTTTAGGTGTGATTCCAATCAAAATAGCATTAAACATAATGCACATTAATTCATATAGGGCATATAGGGCATATTTCAGTATGCGTGGGTGAGATCCGTAGCACGATCGGTGAGCTCCCTTTACTATATCTCATTATGTATACATCACACTACACTCTTCATAAGAAGTTTTAGCCAAACCGCAGGTATTAAAATTAACGCATAATAGTGCGATCATTCTGAGAATTAATTTATTTACGGACTTGCTGTAAATCGAAACACTCACAACTTTTAAGCACGCACTTGTCTAAAACTTGTCGCACTTAATAGGATTGTAGTACATTTAGGCAAGCATTTAAAATAAATGGGAAAGGTACGCCACCTACGTCATCTTTTTCCCTCATTTCTTCAAAATATCTCTTAGCCAAAACCGTCATGCCGTTACCTTACAGCTTGTTTAATTATTTATGGTTGAAATCCGACTTGGACACTTAGGTGAACCAGTAATAGATTCTGACGCACGCAGTGTTCTCCGTTCTGGGAGTGCCAGTTTTTTAAGACATTAATCGGTAAGCCAACTCAAACAAGCTCAAAACGCGTCTGAAGCATGACCACAGGTGTGTTAGATAAACCGGAGTCTACTGTAAAAAATCTCGTAGAGTTCTCGATTTGGATCCCTATTATATCAGCAGGCACGTTGACATACCCCCCTGATATCACGCGCTCAGTTCCCGCGGCCAAGGGGCGAGACCCAATTTCCAGCCAAGGGTGCACGCAGTCACGCCACCGTGAGACGGCGTGGGACTCAACTTATTGTGAATACCACCCTCTGCACTCATATCTTCCCCCCCTTCATGGCGTGACTACAAAAAGCGCTCATTTGATGTTGCTTTCTCACAGTCTCTGACGATGGCCTCCTGTACGAGACCGAAAGCTCAGACTAATAAACCAACTGTCCCAGAGATCGGGTCTTCATCTTCTTTACAACAAGAACCCGGGATTCGCATATTCGCTTCCATCCGTGATATAGATTGTCTTTGATTCGTTTTGGGACGACGTATGTTTTTGTTATTACGGCTATTTACACAGTTCTTATTTTTTTTACATCCCTTTAGAAAAGTACGAAGAAGTTACCAAAATCCTCAACGTTTATCGCGAGGTTTCCCAAAACTTGGAAAGTGGGTTCTTCTTATTTCTGGCGATGACCTTAATTAAGTCATCAGAAGCGCTGTTCGCAAAGTCAAAAAGGACATAGGTGAATGTAAAAACTTTCTTGCTTGTAACCGCGAGGAGTTGCGCAGGCTCTGGCTAGACCTGATTGAACAGCGTCGCAGCTTGGAGCTAATCGAGGTTCTTGACCGAGTCCGCCTTGCCCCAGATATAATTAATAATTTAATATCTGCGCGAGCCTGGCCGGAGGCCACCGATTTCCTTTTAAGCATCCACAAACTCGCTGAAACAGAAGTTCAAAATATCCCAGCCTTGGATGTGACTATGGCCGAACTCGCAGTTAAAAAAAAGGTAATTTGTTAGGGTAAACTTACGTACCAGCAATTTTCTCATTTCTGTCATGTTTGTTGTATTTAGTCTTGTACTACCCAACTGTTATCCGTCGAAACTGCCTGGGACAAACACACGAATGATAACCAATCACCACAAAAGCTTGATCCTGTTTTTATCTTTGGCATGAATGTGCAATGTTTCCAAATATAAGAATGTGTTCAACCACTAAAGTAAAGTAGTTTTGATTCTTATTTGTAGTATTTTACCCTTAGGTAATAAGGTATTTAGATACGTTATGTGAGTACCAGTTTCTTAAGTTTACACATCCAGCCTAAGGACTTTAAACACGCATGAAAGTGGCCTTTCATTTGGCTTTTTCACAAACCTTGTATATTTGCATCTCGCAATCTTCATATGTCACTGACGTTTTCTCTGCACGATTGCAATGCTTGTCCAGTTACTTCGTATTGACGGCTTTTCTCGTAGTTACTTAGCCTTTTCTTACGAGAAACTAGGGTCAGTCTATCTACCAAATGAGGATTTGTCTAACATCGTTTATTGTATACCGTTTCTGTTTGCGCCAGCTTTATTTTTCTCGGCCATTTATGACGCTTGATTGTTGGCAAATTCTCTTGGTTTATAGAAACTTTTTGAGGAAATCTGCCAATCTTTGTTGTTTCTCATATTCAAACAACCACTGGCCCTAGTTCTACACGACAGGAGTTTTCGTTACGGACCTTCTTCAATTACTGTTCCTGCCGTTGATAGTGCGACTTTCCCCACCCGGTAAGCCAAATTCATTCTACTGTTTTCAGTGTTTTAATCACAATGCACAATACAGACACCTCCCTTCGGCTCTCTTAGTGGTGGATGGTATAACAGCTCAACGCGGCACCAGCAAACCGTGTTTAGCGAGCATGCAGTCTGTTCGGTTTCCGTATGAATCATTGTTTGAATGCCGGACGGTCAGGTCTCTCCCTAGGCGTCAAAGCCGTTATCCTCAAGTAAACGAACAAGCGCCATTTTCCGACGCACCCTTACTATTTGTACGTTAGAATTCGCCTCGTTGACGCTCTGTACCTTCACTTTTTTCAATTACCAATGCTTTTGACAGCAACAAGACCTCAAATTGAGACGCGCCCAAATACTGTTTTCACTTTTTCCTCCAAATTTTATTTCTACTCAATTTCAGCGTCCGCTGTATATGCACAAATCACGTAATCTAATGTAGACAAAAGCATCTCCATGACACACGACCGTTATCCGCCGAAATAACATTTCTCAACTTCTAAGCGAGGCTTTTTACTAACCATCTTGCCCAATTTTCGATGAGAAATGTCGATGGCGGTAGTGTAGTAGGAGTAAAAGCACTTGTCGGCGTCAGCATCCTGGTCTTACTCCAACAATTGCCGGACACGTCCACTCTGTAAAATTAGGCATTAACGAGATCCACCCGCTTCAGAGTATTTGGTGAGGTAAACTGTCTTTCAGACGACTGAGGTCTCGCACTTTCCATCTCTCCAGTGGCGGAGACCTGGGCGTGCCAGTATCCGCGGTTGCCGCCATCGCAGTCGAAATTTGCTTCTATGAAACTTGTTTGACCATGGAGGTTCGCATGTGTTTAGCACACAGGCGGTCACGGCAACAGCTACTTTTGTGAAGCTTTATGGTATCTGCGTCAAAACTGCATTGGCAAGCGTTGCTGCACTTTATGACGCAATTGCTCTGCCATATATCTGTCCATCGAAACCTGACGTAGGGACTGCCTATTATTCAGAGTCAGGAGCCTTGTCTAAAGGTTGCCCTGCTACTGCCACGAACTGTCGTAGGGCTGGCAACTACCGCCTACTATTTGAATCTACAAACGGTAGGTTGGTCAGAACGAAGGATGAAACCAACACGGCAGTAGAGTCCATCCTCTGTCGGGTTCATTAAAAAACGAATTGCATGGCACACTGCTTTAGACACTGGGGTTTGTGGGTTTCATTAGCTGGAGGCACGCTTTGCGATTTCACGGTTTACCCAGGCATTTTGCTGCTGTTAGTCGATTTCCCTACGATGCTATATTTCCTGCCGAAAACGCATTGATAGACTAGTGCGATACTTTTGTAACACCTACCCTACGCTTACCCTCTATCGGTGATTACAAAGGTATGCTTTGCGCAAAGTTCACATTCCCGCAACCGTCCCTGACAAGCTGACTACATCAAATAGGTGTGTTTGTTGTGCATTTCTTCACTTGGTAAATCATCTCGTCCAACCGATTCCCCTTCTCCCAAGACGTTTTACGGAGAGGTTGACACACAATCTCACGGATGATCTAGTCTAATTCGCGTTGTTTTCCTACGGTGCCTGTTGTGAGTCATGATGGGATCGGACTGTCATCTGCAATAATGTTATAACAGCTCTCCAGAGAATCTCCGCTTACCCCTTTTTGAGGGGGGTGGGGGGAATGTGATATAAACGCTGCCCTGTGCAAATGCTGGTGCACCTTGTCTGCACGAATGACTGCGGCTACTTGACGCGATAAAAACACAAATAAGGACAGTCCGCCCCATCCACCAGGCCCTCTCTACTGGAGTGACTTTGTTCACCCTCGCGATCTTGAATGTTAATTATCGTGGGCGTCGGGGTCCACTACGGAACACGTTTCATTTTGCAAGGAGAAAATAGATTTGGGATGCCCTATGGGCTGGTAAGACGCCGGAATTGTATTCTCCATCAAAACGGGCGATCTGCTCATGGCCACGAGTCCCACTGCGACTGGCTAAAGTAACCACAATCACTGGTGTAAAGGCTCTTTCCGATTACAAGCTAAGTAAAGAATACTTTTCACAGATCTTTATGCCTTCCTTGCATTCTGCTGATGGCTAGTACATTAATTATCTTCATTTCCTCCTACAAAACTGGGAAGAGACAACTTGTGTGGACTTTTGCTTACGTCACGGTCAACCAGTAGGTTACCCCGTCCATAGGCCATATTTAGTCTATTGTGCTGGCGGAAAGGACGCCGTGCGGGGCCAATACTGATCAGACAACCTGATCCTTGTATAGAAGGTAAGACTATTTTTGCATGCCACCTTAGCGTTGGATGAGACTTAGCGCATATAGCACCTCAGCAGCGGAATGTATACCAACCTGAGACGAGCGCAAGTCCTGGATGAAGAGACTGATGTTGAAATCAAGTAGAAAAAGCTGCGGGGTGCCTTCCACGACTCTTAAGCCGCAGTTTTTGGACTAGTTCGCCGATAATACAGAGGTCGGCTTAATGACAGCGACGAAAAAGCCCAACTCATCTCCGATTAAAACACGCCACATAAGACCAATATGAACAGCAGAGCCAATACGAACGAAGCTACTTTCTTTCATATAAAAGACGAATGCCTAAAGCCTGAGTAAGATGTTAACTGATCGACTGCCGCAGAAACCAGAAGAATCCCAAGGATTACCACATTGCGACAAAATTAGACACTTAGTTGATCACCAAGGCGGTCTACGGCTCTCGACCGATAGAGACTGCGTTGTTGCTCGGCTCAGACGACACGGGTTCATTGTCAGCGAAATACCACGTCATGGAATTCTGATTCAACTATGCCAGTTACCTCCTCATCCGCCCTTCTCCAGCTACCATCCGTCAACAGGCTGCACCAAGTGGCAACAAACGTTCGACTTGGTCGTCTGTCCTCTGAGGGGAACGATCAGCGCAGTGTAAAAGGATTGTGAAGCTCCGGTCGCAGACTCAACTTTAATCTGGTAGACGCCTTTCACTGTCACGAAAGTGGAAGCGGATGAATACCGCAAGACTCTTAGCATGCCATCATTGTCCATCTTATTAACCTGTAACAATCGTCGCGGAATTATCCCCAGCATTCGAGGACAAACATTTGTCCGTGTCCTTGCGCACCTGCATGCACTCCGGGAAAAGTAGCTTCCCTAGAAGCATAATGCGGTTTCTGGCAGCACCATGGGACCACATGCGTTACTTTCGAAGCCCTTCAACTTCCAGAAAGGTGCTGAGTAGTGGGAACAAGTTTCCATACTCTCTTTGTTGATATAACAAAGGCCTTTGAAGCCGCGGACACTGCTGGAGTCTGGGAAATCACAAAAAGTTCAAATACCCTAAATGATTTGCGCAGATGACAGACAACTCCCCAGTGACATGATGGTGTACGTTAGGACAGCAGGTCATTCCCGACAGCCTTCGGAGGGACAAATGACAAAGGCCTGCAACTGTCTCTGATGATAGGTTCGAGTGAGAGTCCGAAACGTCGGAACAATAAACCTCTTGTCCAGATGATCGCTTCTTCTTCTTCTTCTTCTTCTTCTTCTTCTTCTTCTTCTTCTTCTTCTTCTGGACAAATGGTATGAAGCATGACTGTTTGCTCGCACTCATGCTTTTCGGCCTTGCGTTTCCGTCATAAAAATGGGGCCTACCCTGATGAGCTTGGTAAAAGTGACGCCAACCACTAAATGGTCAGGAAAGTGCTGAACATCCGACGTGTGCAGGCAGAAACAAAAGCATCGAAGACCAATTTCACGACATTTTCGCGGATGACTGCGCCCTGACCTCCACTATGGGGAGCGTTTCGGAGCCGTGGGTGCAGGTATAGGCCAACACGTGTGTGGCATACTTTGACAGTGATTTTGGTGCCATGTCAGACACTGTGCCTCTCCCCACTACCAGTTGGTAGGATGTGAACTTGGCAGTAGTGTGCAAGTCGTGGAGAGGGGGGGGGGATTGAGGCGATCCACTTCTGGCCTGTTCGTTTATTCCCCGCAATAAGTAGTCAGAACTCTTTAAACTGTCACAATTTGCTGAAGTTTATGATTAGGAAGGCTGCCAACCAACATGACAGGCCGGTCCTTCTTAGGAATTAGAGTCAGGTTTCAATGGTCCATTCTTAATGTCACCTTTATGGTGCCATTCCCTCGTGAGCCATCCGACGTACTTCTCCGAGGACTAGTTCGTGTACGGTGAGGGGCCAGGAAGTGTCTGCCACGCATCTGACGGCGGACTTCGTGCGGCGTTACCCACAGCGCCCATTTGTATCCCCGTTCACAGTCACCCCGTATTTTCTTTGGAACGCAGTATGCACTGAAATGGCGAGTTGAAAACGACAATGAAATCTGCCTTACCATGGGCCTAGTTCACGCGTAAGCCACCACTGTGTCCTCTTGGGGGCATTGGTGGTTACGACCGCTTACGGTTGGCTATTATTCTTTCATCGGGGCACCCTCAAAAACCCCAGTTTCCCCCTTTTGACGAGTTTTCAAGTGACTGTGGATTTTATCACTGCAGTTACCAGTCCTTGTCGTTTGTAACGTCTGTATCAGGGTGATGAGAGTTGTTTATTTTCGTTTACCTACTACCAGCACATGTTAGCCTCAACAACTCAGAGGTCAGATACACTGGTAGTTGAAGTCGTGCCGATTATCTATGATTGCTTGTGACCTTATGATGCAGGCGATGCACTGGATCTGCCACTCTCTAATGATGAACGGCCGAAGTTATTGGTTGACTCGTCATATGACTGCTAGACGCCCAGCCAAACACGGCTTATTGTGCGGTCACAAGTTGTTGGCAAAAAAGTACTTATTTATCAACACGAAGATGCCCCCTTCCCAACGTTCGCCCATGGAAGGATTTTTTGTTTTTTTCATATGCTATAGCTCGTCGGTGACTGTCAGTTCGGAGCCAGTCTCGGGTGAACTCACGAGGGACAATCGGTTCTCTGATCTGCCACTGTCAGATTGGCGCTCCTTGCCCGTTGACCCACCGGCCATCAATCCGAATCTACAGAAGGATCCCCGGGCTGTTACGGCCTCTCTTCTGGCCAGTACTGGTGCTGCTAGAGAACAGCGAAAACTGGCCACACGACCACTGTACGTACAGCCGAGGGGCAAGTTATACACTGACCAGCTCATCACGGACAAACAAAAGTGGGCGGAGACAATCGTTGCTCTTACGCACTGTCTCAATCGTCTTCAGAAGCTCCCTCAGGTGCACGGCTAGGCTAAGTTTATGTAAACTTACTTGTGATAATGGGGTCCAAAGACGCTAAAAGCCCATGCTATCCTCGGTGCACACATTGAATCAGTTATTATCGTAGTTTTTGCGCACATCTTGGTACCCGAGACTTGTTCACTTTAGGCTTTGCGCATTTCCAGGGGAGTAATTCGTAGTTGCAGATAGAAGGCAGAAGGCGGTTTCCAGGAAACAGTTGAGAAAAAGATGCGGTCACTGGAGCAGAAAGTCAGTTTGCCTGACGTTTCAGATTCTCACTCGAGCCCATCATCCGAGACAATCGAAGATAAGGTCTTAGTACACATGGTTACTCAAAAGTTGCTTCAATGGGGTAAAGTAGTCGCAATCGTAAATACCATTGCTCCTCTTCCTCTCTGCTCCCGCTCTTATAATGGCAACAACCAATTAGAACCGATCTGGTGACGATTGTGTCCCAACGTATTAACGTTGCTAAATTACATCTTTTGGAAGCAATTATTATTGTAAAGCATCCTCTATATGCAGAGGCACTGTTTACGCGTCATCTGAGAAAAGAAGGGAAACTTAGATTATGATAAGAAAAGACTCGAAAATCCTTCATTGAATGGCCTTGCTACGTATTTGGTGCCATAATGCTATGGTTAAGCAGTATGCGACCATTCCCCCGGATTTAGTATTTTAAACCATTTTCTCCTACAAATTTGTCATCATTCTCAATTTTTTAGATGAGGGTATTTTCATATTTTTGGACCTTCACATCCACTTGTCATAAGTTTAGCTGTTATGATTAGGCACCAGATTGTTGCCCAAAATATCTGATTTCTCCCTACAAACTTCGATCTCTCCTCGTTCTTCCGTTCATAGTAGCGGTCTGTGCGCACATGGAGTGCGGATGAGCGCGCACGTACGCTTTTTGTACTCTGAGAAGTGTTGCACACACACGTTTTGGCAGAACATGTTTGCCTTTTACCGTTGACGCATTTTCTTGACATTGGCCCACACCATTGCACGTATCAATGAGTACTCCTCTTCTGGTTTTTGTTGATGCACTTGCCGCACGCTCTCCAATTCCGTAAGTCTGCCCGATGCTTGTAACTACTGTGGTTCAAACAGTGTGTCTGGCTGTAGGGCACTTGTTGCGTCTGGCAATGACAACTTAGGCCACCACCCATTGAGTACGGAGCCCCGACAATCACTGGGCCCTAACATCTACGCGAAACGTATTGACCAAAGTGACTTCTTTCCATCGCTTATCATGACCTGTA